CCAAGGCACCATGGAAAAAAGCGTCCATCATCTTAATGGTACCTTTTAGATGTCTAGCTGAGCTGCGCCCTCTTCCTCACGATCCCTGCCCCTCCCGCGAGCACTGCGGGGGAGCTATTCCTGGCATGTCTTGTGGTACAAAAGCGCGGTTCATCTTCTCAAGGAGACGTGGGGAGGTTGAAAGTCAAACCCATTGGAACAAACCTTGGCTTTGGAGACGAGTCAAGTGCTTGTTATGCAAGTACTCGCCCTCCCCAAGGAGAAGTCAGCACGACGAGAAAAACAGAGTGAGGGGGGGATTTGGCGGTAAGGATGAAAAGGGAACAAGGTCGATGAGGGACTCACCGGCTCGGTGCGGGGGCGTGGCCAGGTATGGGGCGTAGCCATCGCCTCCAGAGGGGGCGTTGAGTCCTCAGCATCGACTGGAACAAGCCAGGCAGGGAGCAGGGCCTGCTGGGTCCCTCTGCCCCGCGAGGTTTGGGAGGAGAGTTGAGGTTCAGCTTGGCTTGGCTCTGGAAGAGCACGGTGTATGCTGCTCTCAGGCTTAGGGCCGCAGCCTGCATGCTCGCAGGGGTCAGGGTTAGTAGACAGACTGGGGCTGAGGCCGGAGAAATCTCCTGCTGGACTGAGAGCCTGGCCATCTTTGGCCCCAGTATTCCCCGTTGACACAGCAGGGATTATATCTGTTTGCCTCTTCTCTAAAAGGTGAGCTGGAAGCAGAGTCTGATAACATCTCTTGATAACAATGCCTCCTGGCAGGAAATGTGGTCTGGCATCTTGGGGGTTGCTGGTTGGACTGCTGGTGTCCTTTGGTGAAGGAAGGCAGGGTGTTGCCAGAGGATGTGGGGGCTGAAAAGAGAAGATCCTGAGTATGTTACTTTCAAAGGTACAGAAGGCTGTTGCCACGATTCCCTCTGGACCAGGGATGTGGCTGAAGAAAACTTGCTGGGAGGTGTTTTTCTTTGTTGGGAAAAAAGAGCAAAAGAGAGAGAGAGGCCTGGGAGGGCGGTGGAGTCTCATTCATTGCCCGGGGGCAGGTGGGGAAACGGAGAGGTCGCCCTTCCCACTTTTTAAAGGAGAGCTACTACCATACTTTTGTCTCTTTTACATATCAGAGTTCTAATTATGATTTCCCATGGACAAAAGATTCCTTAACTGGCCAAGTTCAAAGCTACTGATTGAAACCATTGTCCACTGCTGCTGCTGCTGCTAAGTCACCACAGTCGTGTCCGACTCTGTGCGACCCCACAGACGGCAGCCCACCAGGCTCCCCCGTCCCTGGGATTCTCCAGGCAAGAACACTGGAGTGGGTTGCCATTTCCTTCTCCAACTAGCCTGGGAAATTCCTTGCAAAGCTCTTGCTTCTCTGGGCCAGGATCTCTGTCCTGGGTTTCTGTGCTGCATTTCAAAACACTCCACAATGTAGTGGCTTACAACAGTGAGGCCTCACTTTCTTTCATCAGTTGACTGGGCTCAGCTGCGTGGTTTTCACTTGGGGGCCTTTCTTGCAGTTGTCCTGAGATGGTGGCCAGAGCTGAGTCCTGAGGTTACAGTGATACTGTCATACAGGCCTGTGCCACTACTGTGTCTGTCACTCCAGCTGGGAAGGCCGGGGGAGCTGGGGACCAGCCAGGTAGCTGTCGGCCCTCGTTGCCCCTCTGTGTAGACTTCCTCCAAGCCTGGTGGTCTTGAGTGAGTCAGACTTCTTACATGGGGCCTGGCTACCTCCAGATGCATCACCCAGGAGACCCTGGCAGAAGCTTCAAGGCTTTTTAGGACTTAGCCTCAGAAGTTCAAGCATCACTGCCATCACATTCCGCTAGACAAAAGCCAGCCCCAAGGGTAGCCCACACTGAATGGGAGGGGACTCTGAAAGTGGGTGATACCAGGGCCAAGCTCACTGGAGGCCCTCTTTGCAGTCTGGCTAACAGTTTCAAGAGGAAGAAGGAGGGCCTGGGCCTGACCCTTCCACTCCCTGCCTCTGCAGCGCTGCTGGGAGCTGGATTTGGGGGCCTCAGTCCAGAGATCTGTCCATCTCCAGAATTGGGGCTGGCAGACTGGGCAAAAGGGAGCCCACCCTCTGCCCCTTGTCTCAAGTTCTTTTAAGAGCAGATAAAGGCTTCTATTCCATAGTCACTGAATTGAGAGACTCTACTCCCCGCTTCAGGAAAACAAAACCAAGTCCCTGACCCCAACCATCTGCTGGGGAAGGTAGGTCACTCTTCTGGACATGTGGGCAATATGATTAGATGCGGAAGTCTGCCTTCCATCCAGGCAGAGGGTTCCCCTCCACAGCCTCTTGTTTCTGACAATTTCAGAAATTTCCTTCGGCAAATGGAAAAGCGGGAGTCAGCCCAAAGAGGAACAGGAGTGAGAGGCAGGGTTTGGTCTGGTCCTCCTTGATAGATGCAGGCTAGGAGGAGACTTCTGTCTTCCTGGAATTATCGCTAAAGCTCAGGCCCTCATCACGGTAAGTCTCAGACACGGTCACTGTTCCCTGGCCCTGCCAGGGCCCTGTGTTGTTTTAGCTCCTGTTCCCAGGGATGGAGAGGCTTCTCTCAGACAGCCAGGCACAACCATCATTTGGCAAAAGCAGGGTCCCAGTGAGTCGTTAGGAGTGTCAGTCACCTGAGAGGTCTTCTCTGCAGACGCACTCCAAAGCCTGGGAGCCCATCCTCGGGGGAAGTGATTCTGCTCCTGAGGAGGGAGGGGAACCGAGAACCTCAGGAAGGTGTTAGGATGGCTGCTTCGGTGGGGAATGTGGTTGGAGGCCAGGGGCAAAGAGGGCAGGGCTGTCTCTTCTCTTGCTTAACTGAGGGCAGCCTGTCCAGTGTTTCCACTTGATCTCTGGTTTCCTGGGGACCCACTCCACTGAATGTCTCTGCAGTGCAGTCGTCTTTTGGAAGCAAATGCATGGAGAGTGGAGAGGGTAGGCAGGAGGGAGAGGGTCCCATGGCCCATGAAAGCAGCCGCCACTTTATCTTGGGAGGGGACCCCAGGGAGCCCTTGAACTCGATGTCACTTCTGTCATGCCTAGTGAGAGGCGCAAGTGAGCGTGTGCGGGAAAAGAGAACCGCCGAGAAAACAGTTCGCCTCTGTTATTATTTGATAGGCAGCCAAAGCACTTTTGTTCCTGAGCCCGGCGAGCTACCCATGAAAAAATAAATTGCTTTTCAAGAACATTCATCACAGCAAGTGGCTCGTTTCCTTGTCCTCAAACAACCCCATTCCTGGGCCCTTTCTCCCATTAAAACCCCCTCTGATGTGGTAAAACAAATAAAGAAACGAGGGGGAGGTGTGGGAGGTGGTGGCTGCCGGAGGGAAGGTGGACACTGGGGCACGGGATGCCGGGGGCAAAGGAGCAGGAAATGCTGGGTTCCTGCCGGGCCTGGGATATGGGTCTTGCTTGCAGGATCTTTCTGACACACTTGCCCCGAACTTCAGAAACACGCCTGTGGAGCCAGAGACTTTCTGCTGTCTTGTTCACTGTGTATCCCTAGGTACGGAGGAGATTCTCAACAGACCCTTGTGGGATGAAGGAATAAATGAGAAAGTCCAAAATGGGGTGATTGGGATAAAAGGTTCCCTCCCAATCCAGGATAGATGTTGTTTTTATAAGAATCTTTTTTTTTTTTAGCCACAAATTCTGTGATCAATTAACCAGCCAGATCAGAGCCCAGGGTCTGTTGTGTGATCTCCTGCTAGCTCTGGGGGTGAGCTAGCAGGTTTGAGGGGGCGGCTTACTGTAGGGGGAGGCCAGCAGCCCTTAGTTTTACTCTGTGACTCTGAACTGCATCACCTCCTGCGCTGAGACCAACTAAAGGAGATTAATCACTTACATTGTGCTATTTCTGTAGAAACTATAGTCTCTGTAGGGAATATTATGGACTGTATGTTTGTGCTTGTTGAATTTTTATATTGAAACCTTAAACCCCAATGTTATGGCATTAGAAGGTGGGACCTTTGGGAGATGATTAGGTTTCTGTGAGATCATGAGGGTGGGGACCCCACAATAACATTAGTGACCTTATAAGAAAAGGAGAGAACAGAGCTCTTTCTCTGCCATATGAGGACACAGCAAAGAGGTGGCCACCTGTCAGCCAAGAAGTGGGCCCTTACCAAGAACTGAATCTGCTAACACCTTGATCTTGGACTTCCAAGTCTCTCAAACTGTGAGAAGAAGATGCCTCTTATTTAAGCCACTGAGTCTGTGGCATTTCATTATGATATCCTGAGCTGAGACAGGGAACTGTCTGGTACAGGAACATAGCAGGCACTCAGCATATAGCAGTCACTTTTATTATTATTTTGACAAGTGTGTAGACCCTCTACACTTGATAAAATATCAGAAGATATTCAGGGAGTTCTGGGCAGCTTGTCCACCACAGTTATAGAAAATTCCCAAAGTCTGAGATACTGGCAGGACCTCTCCTTCTTATTAGTTGTGAGAGGGTCATACAGGTGGGTTTGGCCCATAGTGTCCCTTAATACAGGACTCCACATAGCTCCATCACCAGTGATAGGTCCCTGTTCAAGTGAATGTGGAGAATAAGGCTGTCAGTCAGGCTCATTTGTCAACAACAAGAATGGTTCCAGGAGGCACTTTAATGCTATATTTTGGAGTCATTGATTTACTCATTCATCGTGTATTTTAGCGTCTCCTCTGTGTCCTGGGATACACAGTGAACAAGACAGCCAGTCCCTGGCCTGGTGGAACTGCTGTCACTCTATCTGGGGAGTAGACAGCAAACAGATGAATTAGTGATTCCATACTGGGATAATCCCTGGAAAGGAGACCCAGATGATGTGCTGGAGAGTGATAAGCAGCAGTGATCTCCTGCAGGGGCGTGGTCAAGGAAGCTAAGGCTGGAAGGAAGAAAAACAGCAGCCGCTGAAGATCTTGCAGGTAACACAGGGAAGGGCTCACGGGTGAGGAGCAGAGGAACCCAGGAGCACGGGTAATGGGCGAGGAGGACCCAGAAGCGACTGGGCCCTAGCAGGGTTCCGGCTGAGGCTGAGGTCTGCTGTGAGGTCTGCGGGGGCCAACGGAAGCGCCGCCCACTTCAGACTGGTCCCGAGGTGCCGTCAGACGAAGGCCCCGGGGACCGAGCTGGGGGAGGACTGAAACCTCCCCCCGGAGATGCCAGCACCCCAGGAGTTGCCCCACTCCCACGGATGGTCTTTTCTTCTTGCCAAAGCCCAGCAGAGCATAAACCACTTGAGTTTTGCCCAGGAGGCCCCTTTGGGCACCCAGCACCCTGGTCCTGCTCAGGCCCCATCAGTGAGGAACCGGGATTTGAGAAACAGATAACTGATAAAACTTTGTCTTCCTTCTTAGCCCACATCACTGTACTATTTGAGTTGGAGAAATACATACTGACAAAACTTTGTCTTCCTTGTTAGACAGAATAGGCTCCCTTTCAGGCCCTATTAAGAATAGCTAATTTATTCGTGCTCTCCCAGGCTGGGAAGGGGGTGGAAGTCGGTGGCTGGCCCTGTGCCCTGCCCGCACCCGCCTGGACAGCGCAGCTGGGAGCCCCGCGCGGGGCATCCAGAGAGGCCGGCCCCGCCCCACCTCAAACCCATTGGCTTCTTGTGGCCTCCCCGCGCTTTCATTGGCTCCCACTGGCCCTTGGCCCAGCCCCCTGAAAGCCGCTCCTTCGTTACCAGGGAGATGGGAAAGCCGAGAGAGCGCCGGTCCTTAGAGATGCTGGGGCGCAAGGAGATTGGGCTGCGGAGAGTGAGCGTGGACGCTGACCCAGCGCCGAGCCAGGCAGGTGGGCGCAGGAAGAGTCAGGGACCCAGGGAGAAGGACAGTTGCCGTTTGCAGGTGTTTGCCCTGTGCACCAGGCTTCCTGCTCTTTCATCCGCCGCTTACAACAGTCCTGAAGAGTAGATGCAGCCAGGCCTCCTTTCGCTGCGCTGCACAGATACTGCACTTTTTACAAACTGAAGGTTTGTGGCAACCCTACCCTTGAGCAAGTCTATCAGCGCCATTTTTCCAACGACATGTGCCGGCCTTGCGTCACACTTTAGTAATTTCAGAATATTTCAACCTTTTTCTTTATTCGTCTGTTTGTTATGGTGATTGGTGATCAGCAAAGTTTGGTGTCACTATTGTAGCTTGCTGAAGCCTCAGGTGATGGTTGTGTGTGTTAGTCGCTCAGTCGTGTCTGACTCCATGGACTGTAGCCTGCCGGGTTCCTCTGTTCATGAAATTCCCCCAGTAAGAACACTGGAGTGGGTAGCCATCCCCTTCTGCAGGGGCTCTTCCTGACCCCGGGACTGAACCTGGGTCTCCTGCACCGCAGGCGGATTCTCTACCATCTGAGCCCCCAGGGAGGCCCTTAGGTGACGGTTAGCGGGCTTTTTTTTTTTTTTAAGCAGAAAAGTATTTTAAAATTAAGATATGTACTTTGTTTTAGACAATTCTATTGCACACTTAATAGGCTGCAGTATAGTGTAAGTAAAATTTTCAGATGCACTGGGGAATCCAAAAAAATTCATGTGACTCACTTTATTGTGATATCTGCTTTATCTCAATGGTCTTCAATGCAACCTACAATATCGTGGAGGTGTCCCCTTATTATTATATCCTTGCTTTCTCGATGAGGAAAGTGATGGCAGGAAGCTGAACAGACTTACCCAAAGTCACATAGCCAGTAAGTTGCAGAGGTGGGATCTCATTTGATTGATGTTTTGTGTGATTCCAAGTTCTGTACCACTATGGCAACCTAATGGGGGTGGATGAGAGTATCCCAGGGATTAGATGGGTAACAATAGCCCACCAGGCTCTGAAGTACCTGCACATTAGGGACTGGCTGGATCACTTGAAGGGAGGCTTCCTGTGGGAGATGGCACTTGGCTGCTCTATGAAGATGGGGGCCTTGAGGATGACACTAACAATGAAGAACCTTTAGAAAGAAGAATCAACCAGAGCAGCCTTTGGACTTGGCTGTGAGATACGTCGCTTGGTACCTCAGCCCCTGAGAGCACCAAATCTTGGGCTTCCCTGGCAGTCCAGTGGTTAGGACTCTGTGCTTCTACCTCAGGGAGTACGGTTTCAATCCCTGGTTGGGGAGCTAAGATCCCACATGCCTTGCATCACAGTCAAAGGGGGGAAAAAAAAGAGACCAAGTCTTTGTGCACAGTATCTTCAATTTGCAAATCCCTTTCACCTACATGGTCTCACTGAGCCACAGAATCAAAACAACTCTGTATGGCTGTGTGCATGTGTGCTTAGTCACTCGGTCGTGTCCAGCTCGGGGTGACCCCATGGACTGTAGCCCACTAGGCTCCTCTGTTCATGGGGATTCTCCAGGCAAGAATACTGGAGTAGGTCGCCATGCCCTCCTCCAGGAGATCTTCCCAACCCAAGAATTGAACTCAGGTCTCCCTGGGAATTCATATTGCAGGCAAATTCTTTACCAACTGAGCTACCAGGGAAGCCGGATGACTGAGCAACTAACACTTTACGTTGAAAGACCAGATGGTTCAGACGGTAAAGAATCCGCCTGCAGTGTGGGGGACCTGGATTCAATCCCTGGGTCAGGAAGACCCCCTGGAGAAGGGAATGGCTACCCACTCCAGTATTCTGGCCTGGAGAATGCCAAGCACAGAGGCGCCTGGCAGGCTATAGTCCATGGGTTCCTAAGAGTTGGATATGACTGTATGGTTGGCACATCTTAATTTTGCAGAAGAGTAAGCTGAGGACAAGTGAGGCCTGAGGAGGACAATGTGTAGATGTTCCCTGTGTGTGGAGGGGTGCCCCGGACCTCACACAACTCTTACAACAACCCTAGGAGGTGGGTACTGCTTGTCTTAATTTATGGAGGAAGCAACCAGAACTTAAGAGAGGTTGTGTCATTTCCTTAAGGTAACAGAGGGGTTTAAAAGCAAGGCTGCCTGACTCCAAACTCACTCTGTTTCAGTTATCCTACTGTTTCTTCAGGTCCTAAGCCAGCCCGAGGAGTAGATGGAGAGCAGTTGCTAAGCGAGAACGATTTAAGGATGACAAGAAGATCACATGCCCAAACTTTCTTTTATTCTTCAACTCACTGCAGATGGATGAAGCACTGCCACTGACATTTATTTTGTTGGGTTAAACGTTGCTTGAGCCTTGAGAGTCTTACAATTCAAATCTTTTATGGGAGGAAGGCATTAATTCCCTGGTATGAGTGAGAAAGAAAAATATTTGGAAATTCCACTGGAGTTGTTCAACTAGCTATAACATACACCACTCTTGTCTTGACCATATTCTCACATTTCTCTACCCCCTACATAAGGGGGATAATCCTGTGATAGGCAGCAGTAAAAATGAAACAGCCAGAGAGGTTCTAATATGTTGGGATAGAATGTGGTAGGCAGCAGCCAACATTTTCTCATGCTGCACCTGGGAAAACTGGATAAATTACAGAAATCATATTTTATGGGCACTGGAACTCTGTGGAAGAGAAGAAGTGAGGATGAAACTAAGATTCCAGAGATGGAAAATTTCTTTCTAGGTGAGTTGGGATTCCTAGTCCTTTTCTTCCATGAGGCCATTGCTGAGTCAGTGTTCAGCCTGAGTTTTGGGCAGAGAGGTCTACTAATGGGAGGAGAATCTGGCAGGACTTGGGTCAGCCACGTGGGTGAGTCTGAGTGACCAGAGAATAGCAATGATCTACGGTTTCCCAATGGAACACTATGTGGTAGGGTAGTGTAGGATGCTGGGCATCAAGACATTGTTTTTCAGTCCCTGGGAGGCCAAATACAGCTAGAGGAAAAGGCCATCAAGAACATGTCATAGCAGCACTGTTCACAATAGCCAAGAAATGGAAGAAACGTAAATGTTCATCAACAGATGAATGAATGAAGAAGATGTGGTACATATACACAAAGGAACACCACTCAGCCATAAAAAAGAACAAAATAGAGCCATTTGCAGGAACATGGATAGACCTAGAGATTATCATAATAAATGAAGTAAGTCAGACAAAGACAAATACCTCATGATATTGCTTACATGTGGAATCTAAAATATAATACAAATGAACCTATCTACAAAACAGAAATAGACTCACCGACACAGAGAACAGACTTGTGGTTGCCAAGAGAACGGGGATTGGAGGAGAGATGGACTGGGAGTGTCTGATTGGCAGATGCCAACTGTCGCTCAGGGAATGAATAAGAAATAAGGACCTACTGTATAGCACAGGGAACTATATTCAATATCCTAAGATAAACCACAATGGAAAAGAATATAGAAAAGAATGTATGTATGTGCATAAGTAGATCACTGTGCCGGACAGCAGGAATTAACACAGCTTTGTAAACCAACTACACTTCAATAAAAAGGAAACATGATAACTTTCCTCCTCAAGACATTAGCCAGATATTTTGCTTGCATGTGAAGGTGGGGGTGAAAGAGCTAAGCTTAAAATCTCAGAGAAGCAGAACTTCTGAGGCCAAGGAGACAAAGACTGGCCAGTCTTAGAGTCAAAAATGTAGGGAGACCATGCCTGAGAAGGCAGCTAGAAGGAGTGGCAAGAAATGCAGGACACGTCTTACTCTGGGGACGTCTGAGGCCAGAGGCACACTGACCAATACTGGAATCCAGTCCAACCCAACTCAATTTCTGGTAGGGCTGAGGTGATGATGCCCCACCTTATCTGCCTAACAGAGGAGGGAATACTTTCTGGGGAAGAATAATGTCTTTAAATTCTATGATTTTTTTTATATATCATATCTTAAAGTCAGTTTAAAAATTATAAGACAGGGACTTTCCGATGGCCCAGTGTTGAGAACTCTGTGCTTTCACTGTTAAGGGGCATGGGTTCAATCCCTGGCTGGGGAACTAAGATCCCACAAGCCATGCAGCCAAAAAATAAATAAGTAAAAATAAAAATTACACGTGAATAGGTGGAAAACATGAGACCAATAGACTTGAGAAAAAATACAATAGCATCAGACTTACAATGTCTCAGTCAGCTCATGCTGCCTTCACAAAATACCACAGACTAGGCACGTGGGGCCTAGACCGCAGACGTTTATTTCTCACAGTTCTGAAGGCTGGGAGTCCAAGATCAAACTTTAGTTCCCAGTGAGGATTTCCTTCCTGGTTTGCAGATGGTCACTTCTCTCTGTTCCCTCACCTGGTGGAGAATGGGTGCTCTGTGTCTCTGCCTCTCCTTATAAAGGCACTAATCCCATTACAGGGGCACCACCTTCATGAACTCATCTAAACAGAATTGCCTCCCGAAGCTCCCACCTTCAAATACATTGAGGCTTAAGGCTTTAGTGTGTAAGTTTTGAGAGGACACAAGCATTTATTCCATAGCACAGATTATAACCGTGTCTGGCTCTGTTTTTGATATTGGACTGTTGAAACCTTTCAAACTCCACTGTTCCCTCTTCCTTCCTGTCTTAGATCTGCCAAGCTCATCAGAAAGCCTGAGCACTGCCTGCCTTTGCCTCATCAGGAGGTTCAAATCCTGCAAGCCTAGGTCTGTGCCCTGGAACCTTTACTCCAGCCCCATCCTCCAATGACCCAAGCAAGTCTCCTTTCCTTGCTCCCTTAAGCCATTTTTTGGGCCTGCTTGGGAAGTTTTAGGCTCCCCCCAGAAATCTTCATATCTGAGTAATGCATCTTTTCATATCCTCTTTTTTTAGCTCTATATTCTTAAATTTTTTAAAATCAAAATTTATATTGAAATATAGTTGATTTACTCTTTCTTATATATACTATATACATATATAAATATAGATATTCTTTTTAAGATTATTTTCCATTATAGGTTATTACAAGATACTGAGTATAGTTTCCTGTGCTATATGTTAGTCCCTGTTGTTATCTATTTTACATATAGCTGTGTGTCTATTTTAATCACAACTCCTAATTTTCTTTTGGGATCTCAT